TAACGCTTTTTATAGAAAACATCGTTTTTAAATGCATCTAATTATACCTAGCTAGATTTTGCTCAAGGTTTTGTTCGCATTGGTTTTTTTTATAAATGTTGCTTCACTCTCAAAGTCGTAGCGCGAAAGGCGACTTTTATCTCCCTCTAAACATATGCCATAAAATGCAACTAGAATTTATCAAATCTGAGTGATAGATCCAAAGATAAGCGTGTGCAAATTGACAAAATACTAGCTAGTGACCCTCGATTGGGGTTCCTAGTGGAAAACAACAAATCTATTCCACGGGAACCATACATTTTTTCTATAAAAAAGTAACCCATGTGCTATCCCAGAATATAATCTATCTCTGTAGCTATCTTGAGTAACAAACATCCATCCAAACATTCGTATTTATAATATTAATTAATGGATTATCGTTTCAGCTCTGTAATGTTTTTTAAAAGTAAAAAAACACACCACAGGCATCTCGTTCGCCTTGATGTTACTCACAAGTCATTCTCACAACTCAATTTTATTTGTTTTTATTTTTATTTCTTTACTAGCATTGTCCGCGGCTCCGCCCGCGTTCAGATGACCAAAAACCATTTTTTTTTGGTTTTATATATTAGTATACTCTTACATTGCAGTTTTTTGTATTTTTCTCAGAAATGAGACATTTTCCCGCAATAATACTTATTCGCGGTAATAAGTATATAAAAGTATCCTATATATATGACCCGGATAGCCAGCTATCACCACACCAAATTTCATCAAAATCCCTCCAGTGGTTTTTCTGTGATGGTTTAACAGACAGACAGACAAAAATTCTAGAAACTATAGACGGCCTCTGTATCGATAATAATGTATATTTCAATAAGATTTTCCAAAAAATATTTAATGTACAGATTCGGCTTAGTTACAATTTCATTATAACCATAGATTAGAGTTAGACTCTTGCTGATCTATAATGTCAGTCAAGATTAGGTTTAAATTCATTTGCAAAATTTGAAGTCAAATTCTGATTATTCAGCACAGATAGCTTATTTTAGAAAGTAATCACAGTACTTGATGTGTTATGTTTGCTTTCTAATAAAAGCGATTGGCAAAAAAACCCGTCTCAAAGACTGCTGAATGCCGAATTAGCTATTTTTATGAAATATACTGTAAGAGATATATCTTTATATTAATGTTGAAATAGCATGAAATTCTTTTTCCAATTTACATTTTTGTATTATTGCTTTTATCATAAATAAATAAGACTACGTTATAGCAGTCATACAAAAAGACACAAATCTCGTGTCTGCCACGACCTTTGGCTATATACATACACTAGCATTGCCCGCGGCTTCGCCCGCGTTCTGATGAACAAAAACCACATTCTTAGGTTTTACATATTAGTACACTCTTACAATGCAGGTTTTGTATTTTTTCTCAGAAATGAAACATTTTCCCGCGGTAAAAAATATCCTATATGTTGATCCGGATAACCAGCTATCATCATATTAAATTTCATCAAAATCTGTCCAGTGGTTTTCTCGTGATGCGGTAACAGACAGACAGACAGACAGACAGACAGACAGACAGACAAAAATTCTAAAAACTATAGATTCGGACTCTGTATCGATAATAACGCCTATTTTAATTAGATTTTCCAAAAAATATTTAATGTACAGATTCGACTTAGTTACAATTTTATTATACTCGTATGTATAGATTATACACAAATGAATCTGCCAAATGAACTGAATTAGGTATTTTTTAACATATTAATTATACTAGTTAGTTAGTTTAAATAAATATCTGTTCACAAAGAACCACTTCATCCAAAAACATAAACATGGTACAAAACATTTATTCACCGTCACTCACGCTGTTTTTGCGCGTAAGCTTCGCGTCACAAAGTTACAACTTCTGACTATACGCACCTCCAATATTTTTAAATGTAGCCTAAAGTCATATCTCTAGGGTTTTTTTTTTAATTTTTTCGATATCTCATTTCGTTTTCGAAAGATTTTAGAAAAAAAATTACGTCTGCCGGAAAAAAAACGGCCGCATTTTTTCCATTTTTTTGGATAAAATTTTTTTTTTGCAATATTTTAAAAAACGCGTCTTTTGACATCCCAAACATCCACGTAGCCCTAAAACCCACGACACGAGTGATGCTCCACTTTCACTGAAAATCGGGCCTATACCGAAGCGACAAAAAAACATTTTCAATATTAAAAATGAAAAAAATCCTTCTTAAAACTTTACATCATCTTACTTTTATCTTCATAACATTGAGAAAGGTTAAAAACTAAAATAGACATAAAACACGATTTTTATCCTTACTACATAATATTTAGTAAATATTTGATTATATTATCTAACAAATATAAAGTAAATCTTAATATCTGGTATCTAATTACTTAGTACAGATAGGAAGACGTAGCTCGGTGGTAGCTGGTAACGCCTTGGGAAACCGTCACCCGGTTCAATCCCGGATCTCGCATCTCTGATATTTCCAAGTGCGAATTATATCCAACATGATTGCCACATATATTACGGTGAAGAAAAACATCGTGAACCTACGCAGTAGCAATAATCAAAATACTTTCTTATATACTTCCGAGCTCTGTCTGTCTTTTGATCTTCTCAAAGGAAATGAAATTTAGCTGTACTTGTAATCTAAATAATTAACTGTACATATTTTCATTGACTCTACATAATAATTTTAAGACAGTGGTAGTCCAGTGGTAACACGCTTGCTTGGAAAACCGAGTGAAGCGGGTTCAAATCCAGGGTCGCATCTCTGATATTATTATCATGTGCGAATTACTTTCAACATGATTACCGCTTGTCTTACGGTGAAGGAAAACTTCGTGAGGAAACCTGCATGTCTGAGAAAATCTATCAAGTTTTCCAAACCTGCACTTGGCCAGCGTGGTGGACTATGCCCTGATCCTCCTCGTATTGAGGGGAGCCCCGTGCCCAGCAGTGGGACGTTAACAAAAGGGCTGAAACCATCGACGAGGACTTATGAAACTAGATAGATACTATTCTATATACAGAGGAAGCTTTTTTAATAAAGACAATTTACATAGAAATGTACAACCAGCGGGCGTAACTAAGAAGGCATTCAAATTAAAAGAAGAATTGAATTTAAGCATTAATTATTAGAAATGCTGTATTTGTTTGAAAATCATAATATTATTATTCCCAAAATACATATTATGTATGTACATACATTTATTTATATGCGAAAACCATGCTGGCTTTTTTTAAAAATAACTATTAGTATGTGTTTTATTTTGTACTCGTACATATTAAGTCTTCAATACATATAATAAAATTGTAACCAAACCGAATCTGTACAATAAATATTTTTTGCAAAATCTTATTTAAATAGACTCTATTATCGATACAGAAGCCGAATCTACAATTTTTAGAATTTTTGTCTGTCTCTCTGTCTGTTACCGCATCACAGGAAAACCACTAGATAGATTTTGATGAAATTTGGTATGATGATAGCTGGTTATCCGGGTCAACATATAGGATAGTTTTTACTGCGGGAAAATATCTAATTTCTGAGAAATCTATACTAAACCTTAAAACGTAAATAGGGATGACCCGAGCAGAGCGAGGGTGAGTTGCTAGTTTTAAATATATCAGTAGTATAAACATATGATGATTAATATTCTTTTTGTTAGTATAAATTAATACTACGAATGACATGTCCAGGTTAAGCAGGAATAAACGAAATTGAGTAATTGAATATACAGCCTGCGGGACATTTGTATGGCCCATGCATATATTTATTTTAAAATATACGCATTTTGAACCCGGATTTTACGGTTTAGAAAGTTTTGTCTGCTAGATATGTATATATCTCATTATGCCAACGCGGTTGCTGCTTCGAATATATAATTTACTGTATTCCAATTTAATACATAATGTAATGTACTTGTTATTTACCGCTAACAGCTATTTTTTTTTATTTTTCTTTAAATAATTTAAGACTAATGATATGCCGCTGCTTCGCTCAGATGGATCTTAAATATTTTATTTAAATAGACGCATATCCTATAGAAACCACGAGATGTACCAAAATGCTATGATAAATAATTTATTTTTATAAACTGTTACCTCTATTCAAACACAATACAGATCCGTTAATTCGTTACTTGTTAGAAATACAAAGTAAAAAACTTTCGCATTTACAAAATAAAGATTAATAAAAATATAACAAGTCATTAAATTTAATTGACGCAATAAAGATGAATACTTGCTATTTAAAGTTTTTTTTAATGTATTTTTAAGCACAAATTACGATAATATTGAATATAAGTAATCTGTATGTACCTACTCGTAGTTATAGAAATATGCTTATATATTAGTATCTTAAAATGTATTTTTTACTAAGATCTTCTTAAATGCACAATATTTTTTTATTAAATTCTCTAACTATGTAAAAATAACTTATATTTTTTATTATATTTCGTTTATGTAATTTTATAGTCGTATTTAGGGTATACCCTATTACTTAATAAATTCACAGATAATAAATACTCTAAACAATACATAAAAGATAAGGCGACGATATTTTTTATTATAATACTAACAGAACCCGCGGCTTCGCTCGCGCTAAATAAAAAAAGTAAAAAAAATACAAAAACAAACAAAGCTACAAAAAAGAGTCAAAAATGTAGGTTTCACACAAACTTTCATTCCTTATTTTATCCCCTTATAAGACGAATTCCGAAAAATGCTAAAACACGTATTTATTTAATTGTATTGAAGAGAATTTATACAAAGTTTCAAGTAATTCTGATCATAAATATTTTTTGAGTTGTATTATAACGTGTTTTCCCGTGTCACTCTCCAGATCTCCTACTCTCTTCACACAAAAAATCACGCCAATCCATCACTCAATATCGACGTAAAAGAAGGACAGACAAAAAACAAACAAACACACTTTCACATTTATAATATTAGTATGGATAATATAACACTATTTTTATAATACAAATGTTACGTACCGGAATATTCTGTATCATTTATTTTAAAACACACTCTATCCATGTCTGAGGTAAGTCTTTGGTACAAGCGGACTGAGGCTTTATCAGAGCAATGCAATCTGTTACCCGAAGACTAAGTGTAAAAGTATTGAGATAATTATGAACGAATTTGACTTTGGGGTTCCGTTGCTGTTTTTTTTGGTTTCCCATTAAAATTTTGCCTTATTAGAGTAATTTTACGTCAAAAATATTAAATGTATAAAATGTAGCACATGTATATCTATCTATACTAATATTATAAAGAGATAAAGTTTGTGAGTTTGTGACGTTGTAGGGGGTAATCTCTGGATCTACTGCACCGATTAAGATGAAATTTGGTAAGAAGATAGTTTGAAACCCTGGGAAGGACATAGGATAGGACTTTTTATCCCGGAAATCATCCCTTAAGGGGATGAAATGGAGATGAAAATTTGTATTAGGAAGCAAGCTAGGGACGAAACCGAGCAAAGCTAGGGTAAGTCGCTAGTCTGATATGAAATGCAATAATGACGTATTTAAATAACTGAAAGTAAACAAATTCAAAAGAAAAGGCAACCTCCATGTCACTGAGGGGTGAGAATAATTTTTAGTAAATAAAATTCCAAAATTAAGAGTCCATGTTTTATATTTCTGGCACAATTATTATTGTGCAACGTTTTGTCAATAACATACATTTTGCTTCAATAATTTCCAAGCAGTTTTATTTTGTGCCGCAGGAACAAGCAATCAATATAATCGCTTAATACGATTCTTATGTATATATATTCAATGCAACACTAATTGTAAAATTGCGTGATAATAGCACCCAAGAACCTTGAACAAAGGGTTTATAATTTCTAAATATTTTTACACAATTGATTGATTATGATTAGTGCTAATTTGCTATTGCAAAATTAAATAATTATAGTTGGGGTATGATATATGTTTTTATACTACATACTAAGTGCAGCTTCGTCTATTATATTTATTATACTCAGGAAATATGACTGATTTAGGTTACGAAGACCAATTTCACTGAGAGTGTGGTCAATCTGCGCAGGAGATGATAGTTCAAAAGTGTATTCTCTTTTCTGTCCTTCTCAAGCTCTGGATCCGGAAGGTGGGACGACAATTTGACACACTGTGAGATATCAGAGCTGGACCGAGCTTAACTTGCTTTGTGAAGCACAGGGGGTAACTGCGCCAACTTTTCAACTCCGGATTGCTACTGAACGTTTTTTCACAAAAAGCCCTATACTATACCTGACCAGACCCGAGAGTCGAACCCAAAACCTATGGATCTTTAGCCGTACACGCTAGTGACTAGACCAATTACTATACTGTTATGGTCGGTAGTCGAATTATAACGGAGAGCTTGAGACATATCCAAGTGTAAAAGTTTTATATTTCGCGGATTTATTTTGATTTTTGGTTAAATAAATAGTAAATGAAAACCCCCCGTTCAGTTGTTTTTTTTTACTTTTTATTGTCTGGAAATCTTTTTTTTTAAGTTTTCATTATATTAATTACTTTTATATTGACTTACGAAATAAGTTCTATTAAAATTCCTCCAGTCGTTATCAAATGAAGAGTGAATTAATAAACAATCAAAAAGTCTAAAAATAATATTTTATTTTAGTTGATCTTACTTTAAATATTGTGATATTCACTAAAATCTATTTACACACGTTTAAAAGAATACCCAATATGTTTTGACCCCATTATACTGTTATTCTCTACATAGTTATTCTATCTCAAAACAAAACAAGGTCAACGTTGTTATTATGCAGGTCATCGTAGGCCGTACAATCTCTCCGGGGCAGAGGCTGACTGCTACCGGACGCGTCCCCGGGTGGCGGATAGGGGAAGCCACTCGCGACTGTTCCCCCAGACAGGAGCTTGTGGTACCGGAGCAATCCGGCGCGGACCAACAGCCAGGAGGGGCAGGGGGAGCGGTGTCAGGAGGGCGCCGTCTCCTTCTTGGAGGTAGCGCGGTGTCTCCGGCCGTTTCGCGGTAGGAGGCGCTGCGCGGGCCGTGCTGCCGGGGCTGGCCCGTCGGTGCGGCGGCTGGAGCGGGGCCAGTTCGGTGGTCCTGCGTCTGGCGTGGGTGTCGGCAGCCATCTTGGTCCGGAGGTGGGCCGACGGTAGGGGGGCCGCGGGGGAAGAGGAGTGTCGGTATGGCGATGCGCCGCTCGTCCCTATCTCCCGCGGCCTAGCGGGGCCACCACCGTTGATGGTGGACGCGGTGGGGCTGTAGGGGAAGGGGAGTGTCGGCGTTGTCGCATCCTCTACTCCTGCAGCCGTTTGGGGTGGCCCCGGTTTAAAAAAAAAAAAAAATCGGGCGTTGTTGGAGGTTGCCCAATTTGGGTGTGGAAGGACAGGCTTAGGCTGCTTATTTTTGCAGGTTGCCCACTTCGGTGGGCGGTGTTTGGTCGTGTGGGGCTGCTCCGGGTACTTCTCTGTTCAGCAGAGTGGACTTAGGAGCAGTCTCACGTTCAGGGTTGCAAGTCTTCCCATAATGGGGTCGTCTCGCTTGGGGCGGCCTCATGGTTGGTGGCTTCGGCCAACCGTCGGGGCGTCACGGTTGTATGCGAAAGCGGTCCCGTGGCGTCCCACATGGCGGCTGTGGGGAAAGTTGGGTTTTAGTGGGTATGCCGGTCTCATTAGCCGGAGAGTCTCCACATAACCACCCTGGGGGGAAGTCGGGTGGTATCCGTAATAGGATTTCCCAACTATAAAAAAAAAAAAAAAAGGCCGTACAATCTCTAACACTTAAAAAATAACATTAATTATTTATTTATTTCATAAAATTACTAGCGACTCTCGACTTTCGCTTCGCTTGGGTGCGTCCCAGTCCTTAGGTTTTAACAGTAATCATATGCTACTCTAGGTCGTAGACTATCTGTATATTAAAATTCATCCAAATCTGTCCAGCCATGTCCAGTTTATTTCTGCCCAGAAAAATTAATCAAAAGTGATATCAACATTATAATTGCGTAAGTGAGCGAGTGTATGTTTATTTGTACTAGGCAGTGCTACGCGACGTAAATAAAAAAATAGTAATAATAAAAACCGTTTTGACAAACCTAAAAAATCATAGATCTACGCTTTGTAAATTGTTGTAAAAGTAAAAAAATAAATAAAATATCTTATATAATATTATAAATAATTATAATACATAATTATAATGTATAATAATTATTATAATATTTTTATTACGTTTATTCGAATCTTAAGTCAGACTTGTAAATAAAAATTATGAAATAGCGTGTTGGTTATTTATTCAATTACGTATACATATATGTAATTAAATCATTGAAATGAATTAAACGTGTTTGTGAGGAAATTGTTTTTTTAATGAATATTTCAATTTCCTCACACGCGCTATAATCTTTGTCAGTTTCAATATTAATTTTATATTCTTTCAGAAATACATTAAAACCTATTTTGTATATATTAATTCAGCCCATTTTAACGTCCCATTGCTGGGCACGGGCCTCCCTTCAGTACGAGGGGGAACAGGCTATAGTCCACCACGCTGGCCAAGTGCGGGTTGGCGAACATCACATGTCTTTCGAAAACTTGCTAAGTTCTCTTAGACATGCAGGTTTCCTCACGATGTTTTCGTAAAGTAAGTGCTAATCATGTTAGAAATGATTCGCACATGAAAATATCAGAGGTGCGAGACCCGAGATCTGAACCCGCTTTTCTCGATTTTCCAAGCGAGCACGTCACTACTGCCTATTTGTACTCAGTAATTAGATACCAGATATTAAGATTTATCTTATATTTGTTAGTTTATATAATCAAATATTTACCAAATATTATGTAGTAAATAGAGATAAAAATTGTGTTTTAATGTTTATTTTATTTTTTGACTTATCTCAATGTTATGATGATATAAAGATTTAAGAAACAGTTTATTTTCTTTTGTTGTATTACTGTTATAATATAGTCTTATTTATTTATGTTAAAAACAATGATCAAAAAATATAAATTAGAAAATATAATTTTACCTACCTATTTTCGCTGTAGATAAAATTAATATGATCGTTTAATATATATTATATTCGTAAATATCTTATTTCACAATTCAAAATATAAGATTCACAGAACATTCAGTTCGCAACTCAGACTCGCACTTGCCTGATTTTTACAATTAAACCTAAAAAGTTTTAATAAGTAGTATAAAATTAAACATTAAAAACAAAGCAAACTATAAATTCAGCAGTATGACAAATTATATACATATTTCTGTTTGTCTATCCCGCTTCGTCCTGTATTGTTTGTAAGGTGCTATAGTGTACATTTCTTATCGAAGTACTAATAATTGCCTGTCTGTCTATCAAACTGATCAGTGAGATTAATTTTTTGAATGTATTTTTTTCTTAAACTATTAGTTATAGTAATTTTTGTCATTAATTACTATTTTAAAAGTAATATTAAACGGTACTATTGTGATATGACCACGAGACTTTTGCCAGATAACGTTAAGTCTTCAACAACAAGTGGAAAAAAAAATCTAATTATTCTTCAAAATTTTATTATATTTTAAATTTTTAAAATAAACCAAAAAAGTGTCATCAATTAAAAAATAATACATCTCTTACAATAAAAAGCTATTATAGCTTTTCCTTAAAAAAATTCACTTTATTTATATAGAGTATATTATATTATATCATCGAGTAACTATTACTTAGCCTATATACTTTCTTTCTATCTTTTTTACCTGTTTAGATATGGTAGACTCTTTAACCTATTACACCTAGATTTTTCAAGGAACAAATTTTCAAATTCATATTACATCCTAAGTCTATATTATCTGTTGACCAAGAAGCATGAATCCATTTTAAGTAACCGCTAATTAACCCGCTATGTTCATTAATTTTCAAATTAGTATAATTTAAATCTAGGTAATCTAATGAGCTACAGACACTCACGTTTTATGCCAATATGCAAGCATCCAAAGTTGTTTTTGATGAATTTGTAATAAGTCGCCACTATTATTACATACGTTTACAAGTGAAAAAATGAAAAATATTAATT